AAAATTAAATAGGGCTGGGATCTGTTTTGCTTTCTTAGGACCCAACTGAAAAATTAAACAAGCTTTTATCAACCAAACATATGTTTTTATTATATGTTTGAGTTCACCTTCAGCTTTGACACACATCCAAACCAAGCAGAAGAACAGACTGGATGTAGAGAACAGCCTGGAATCAGTTGTTTTTCACACTGAGCTATTGGAGCTCATCAAAGCAGCTCATTATTAAGTCAGTCTGACTAGAATTTTTGTTCAGCATTTTGTTCCCAATTCATCAAGTTTAAATGTGATTGTAAGGGAGTTCCTCAGAGGAGGTCCAGTTTTATAAATACAGGTTTATAATATGATTTTATTTTGCGTTTATTTTGATTCATTACTATCTTCCAGGCATCATACTTATGCTGTTTTTTTATTTGAGATGGAAAGTATAAAATTATCATGATCTCAGCCCTGGTAGCTTCTCTGATTAGTCACTGTATTTACCTGCTGTATCTTCTTCGCTCTCTAATTATCTTTTATCTTATTCGCCTGCTTCCTCTGCTATAGATATGCTTAACCCAGCTATCGGGGCCAGATCATTTGTGTATTCTTAGTTTATTCTTGTCAGTTATTCATGTTTGTTTTATGAGTTTTAGTTGAGTTTCTGGTTGATGTCGTGACTCTGAAAAGCCAGTGGATTGAGAGTAGGGGTGTAAATAATAATGTAAATAATAATCGTTTTGTATCAATGCATCGATCTAACAGCCGACGATCCGATGCATCGATACGTCCGCAAGAGTATAGATTCATGTTTTTTTTTTCCTCTGGTCTATTTTTATCCATTTGCTCCTGGGCGTAATTCTCCCTCCGGTGCTGCGGTGGCGCTAAACCTATTTTGCCCTCCTACCTCGCTTCCTGGTTATACTCTTACAGCAGTTTGTTGCAGTAAGCTTCACACAGACATTTTTGATTTATGCTCAATATTGAAGCGTGGTCTGTGCTACACAATGTGGGTCTAGATACGGCCGAGGGGGTGAGGAAGTGGGGGCGAGTTTAGTCCGACGATGGAGGGACATGAGGGCCAAAAAGAGCGGAGATCCAGGTGGAAAAGCCTGCATGTTCTCTGGGGCTGCAGCATCTTGGCAGTCCATTGGCTGGATCGTACCTCTTTAAAGGAAGATGGACTGAACTGTTTAACCAGGTAAGTGACTCACAGATAATCATCTCCTGTCAGATGAATGTGTGTGTTTCTATCATATCCAGAATGCCAGTGATGGGTTGCACCTGTCCACCTTAAGCTCCTGCGGTCCGAATGTCCTCAACAGCCTGCATTTCTGTTATGTTTTAGTTTCTGTCATTAAATGTTTTGAATCTTCCCATTGTCTGACTCGCCTTGAATACTGGGTCCATCTGTCCCCTTATGACAAAAATTATAAAAATTAAATGCTCAAATTAAAAGTAAAATAGTCTTTATTTTAGTTATTATGTATGTTTAGTTAAAGTGTATGTTCCACTTTTGGATATCATCAATGCTTTTGACTGAGAGGGGAATTCATGGTACGAAAAATGGTCCAACAATGATATACCCTATACTGATATATCCTGCCCCAACACTGTTTGATAGGACCTACCCAAATTCTAAGGTTAGAATGTACAGTAACTTTACCACTGTAATTTCAATAGTACTAAGATAATAAAGATTTTACATAATAAGAAGTGCCAAGGTTACAGCAATACATAGTAATATCATGCCTTAATGGCCAATCATCCCACCAGGGAATAGTAATGAAACCCAAGCAAGTTTGGAATACACAATCTTTCATGTTTGAGCTGGGATACATAACTGAAAGTCAGAAACAGACAGAAGAATCCAACAACACAATCACTTCATAGAATAATGCTGTAGTGCCAAGAAAGCCAGTTTTACAGCTGAGGACCATATAGTGTTTGGTGGTGTTCATGTCACTTGGTGGATGTTGTTGCTGTACAGTACAAATGGTTCTGCACCTACTCCCAAAGGCTCCACTTCTTCAGAAGCGCCAGCAGGAGTGATGTCTTTACCATCACCACCTTTCAATAGCAAACATTTGCTAACAGTATTCTTCCTTTCAATGATCAGAGACTTTTCGGGTCTCTGAGCATCATACTGTGTTTTAACTTTTAACACAAACACAAAATGTTGTGTGCATGTTTTTGTTATATTATAACTTAGTTTTATCTTCTTTTTTTAATGGCAACATTGGTGGGGGGTGCTGAATAAATCTGTTACTTTTCTGCATTTGGCCTCCTCCAGCACCTTTCTTTTTTAGTCTCTCTCCATCTCTGGGCCCCCTTTCCTCTTCCTTTTCAATACATTCGTAGACCGAGTCCACTGCTTCTTGTCCTCACTTGCACCGCTCGCTAGCTACACACACCACAGCAGCCGACACACGTCCCACACACCTTCCTCCACACACTGCTGTCTGTGTCCTTCCCCAAATTCTACTGGCCAAAGTGCTCTGGTCTGTCACTCTCTCTGACAGGTGCTGCACCGGCAGATTTAAAAAAGGGGAAAAAATAGAGATAGAGGCAGGCCATCAGGCCAATCCCAGGCCGGCGCTTTGGGAATAATCCTGATTCTCCCTATTGCCAGACCGGGTATGCCCCTCCCAATACAAATTTTGCATTTATGCTTTTCCAACACTAACTGTGTAGTGACATTTCGCATAAATAAATTTAGCCAACTTTACTTTAAGCTTTTTTGCTTTATAAAACCCGTGCCAGCCTCTCACCTTAGTACTATAAGGAATAGGAGGTGGCTCCTCCTCATGTATCTCTTTATAGGGATTGTAGTTGAGTAAAAGATTATAAAAGGAAGAAGAAAATTTAAAATAAAAAAATGTGTCTGGACAGTAAATAATCTAACAGTGCATGTCCCATTCCTAAAGTATTGCTGCATATGTATACAAACCTAACTTACAGATCCAACAGCGGAGTATGCACAAATGTCCGTTATTAGCTTGTTTCCTTGCTACAGACTGCCGTTGTTTTGGTGATGGGCATGTACAGTCGGAAATGTGTCATAGTGCACAAGGCTCTTTAATCTCTGATGTAAATGTGTCACATGAACCTTTTACACTGTGTATTAAGCATACTTTGTACTTTCTTATTATTGTTGAGGCTTTATTTTAACTTACAACTGTTTTGCAAGCTGTAAAATTCTTCTTGCTACTATCTGATATTAGTGTTTCATGATGAGTGGCCCTGTTCAGCAAATAAACACACTTGTGTCGGAATGGCAGCATATATAATTGTTGTAGGGGGGCATGTTATTTTGAAGAGTTGTCGTAGTCAGAGTTTGTGTGAATATTGGGCTGTTGTATGTTAGAGTAATGCTTGGACCCCGGAAATATAGAAAAATCATGTAGTTATCAGCTGTGGCGATCTGTCTTGCATGGGCCTTTGCCATTATTTAAGGTTATAGTGGAGGATTGTAAGAAGAAGATGTCTTCAGGTCCTGGGAATACTGGGGGATCATGTAGGACATAATAGAGAATGTTTGTGGTAAATAATAATCCCTATCTTATATTTTGTTTGTGGACATGCCTTCTTTTTCCCCAAAACATTTTTTTTTTTTGTCATGCACTTAAAGCAAATGAGATGTGGAATATCATTCAAACAAGTTTTATTGTTTAGTTGAGTTACAAAAATTATGAAGGTTGCTAATTGTTTATGTTAGTGGATCATATCCAAAAACTTGATGATTAACTATTAAACTATTTATGATTTGCTTGTTTAACAAGGCAGGTCATAAACATAAAAGTTATTTTAATGTGTACAATGTTATAGAGCAAAATATTTATTTTAACTTGGTTAATATGGTTATTATGTTTGTGGATAACTTCTTTGTCTTGAGCCAAAATGCAGTTTGTAGAGTTGTTTTAATGATAACACATTACTAGTCAAACTACAGTGTCAAATTACACTCTTATGTTGTCAATGTAAGTTGTTTTCTGTACAAAATTAGCTCAAGACTACTTGTATGGATCTGTTTATGTCGCAATTGAATTTAAATCAGTGTTTGACAGCCATTCTTTCATATCATTACCAATAAAAAAAATCAAAGGCAGTTCTGATCTGAGAACGTTCATTTTTTTTCAAATTGCTTATACTTTTAACTGCTTTCATGTGCAATCATGCAGAGTGTTTTTATTGAGGTGTTGATTGCTGTTCAGCACTGTGCTTTAGAATGAAATTACAAGGTAATTGCACTTGTGCATCATTTCTATGTTTAACTACTTGCATAACCCGGGCTATCATGATTAAACCACACATGGATAAACAAAGGTAAATAAATATTCACGGTTAAGCTTAAGATAAATGTTCTTTAAACTTTTCTACTAATAGACTTTTCTATCACTGCAAATAAATACCGGTACTATGAAAGCTGTCATCTGATGTAAATTCCATCAACTTTAAATGACTAAAAGTATTTATTATCAACATCATAAAGAAGCGTCGGAGGTGGAGTTTCTGAGAAAGCTTCAATTACTATATTGTGTCGGTAACTGCATTTTATTTTTAAAAGGGTTAAATTCTTAAACATATTTTTATCCCAAAGCTGGAAATTGTCTTTTTTAAACCAAGTTTGTTATTTAGAAAAAAAGAAAGACTTCCAGTCCTATGCATGAAACAATGATTAAACAAATATGAAATAGGAAATATAAATGCAATTCAACAATTTAATTGCTGTTTCTACTGTCCTGTACTAAATTGCTTGGGTCTAAAAACCTTTTTTTTTCTTCACATTTTACATTGTCTTTATTTGATGATTCAAGGGGGCAGCCAAGTTTGACCATATCACCATTGTCCCACTGAGATCCTAATTCATGCAGCAGTAAGATTGTCACATTATTTAATTTGTAAATTAAATAATGTTAAAAATAACTAGCATCTAGGAAACTTGCCAGCAAACAAAATTGGCGTTTGTTTTTAAAATCTCTGTCCAATTCCTCTCATGTTGGTATGTAGTTTTTTGACCGACATGCAGAATCACATGGAGAACCAGTGAGTTTGATGGTTTTATTTTACAAAAAGCAGCACAAATCTGGAAGTGAAGAACTGCAGGACATCAGTTGAAATTCTGGTAGGTCTGAGGGGAGAAAGCAGACTGATCAGGAAGGAGTTGGTTGATGAAAACTGATGACTGATTGATTTGCTTACTTGAGGGATAAAGGTGAGGTAGCAGAGATATGTAGGGGTCTGATTTGGCGGGCCTTGCAGACTGCAGATCACAGACGGACTGAGGTTCACTGGTTGTCTGGAACAAAAGCAGAATCCACATTAAAAAACATTCACAAGAAGAATATTCCTGGTTTAAGTTTTTGGCTGGAAAACCATCAGGGGTAATAATCCGGCAAAGAGAGATGATCCTTCACCTCCTTTTGTAGAGGAAAGTCATCTTAATAGAGAAATGTTCAGCCACAAGCAAAGAGCCTCTCTAACTGACACCAGAAAAAACAGCAAAACCCATGAGACCCTAACAATTCCTTTATTGTAATAATTGCAATTTCCCCTTATCTATTACAGAGTGCAATGAAAATTCAATGTAAATATAATATTTTTCCATAATGTCTTCTTTGAAGCTGTGGCACTAAAATAGAGCCCTTACTGAATTTAATTCTTATACAGCCTCAGCCACTGTTTGTGGCTGTGCTAACTATGTTTAAGTGGAATTTGAAAACATAAAAAAAGATTTAGGTAGATCTGGTTTAACTAAAATATCAATAATGAAAATATCCTTCTAAATCGTAAATGCTTTAGGACTCTGTATAATTCATTTCTGTCTTGACAATGTTCAAAATAATGTATCTTACGTGTTACAGGAAGAAAATATTTTGGGGACTGGTGGTTCTGAAATTGTAGATGTAAAGCGTTTTTATTTTATATATACATGTGGAGGGTAATATATGTGTGTGTATTTTGAATAAAATTGTATTTATTGCACAGGTGTCCTTTTGGTAGAATTCTAGCTTCATGTGACTGTTTAACTGCAGGGGAATTCTTGCATTTACATATTTGGGTAATAAGCTGTTTCTGAATGTTCTTGCTTTTAACATTTATGAATTATCTAAGAATCTTATTAATGCACAACCTTGTTTGAATGGTTACTATAGCTGAGCAGTTGTGTAAAGAGGCAGGGTTGAGAAGGCCTTCCTCCAGTGTGCCAGTGTTGGCGATCAGATGGGCATATATTCAACACCTGGGCCTGTTAGTGAGGAAGCCACTGATTCAAGAGCAAAAAACAAAAAAACAAGAGTCTGGTCTAGTGTGTAAGGAAGGACTGTGCTGAAGGCTGAGCTGCAAACATACAGTAGGTGTAGGGACGCAGTGGATATAGCCTTGTGAAGTGCAAACAAATGTTTCTCCCTGAAGGCAAACTGCCAGCTGTCTAGGCCAGCAGGGATGGGACCCTTGATGTACTTCAGGAGGATCCTTTTGAAACACTTAGAGATTACTGGGGTCAGAGCAACAGAATGGTAATCTTGAGGCAGGTTATGTTTAAGTTTTGGGCACAAGCGCATGATGGATGACTTCAGGCAGGCAGGGAACATGGAATGCTGCAAGGAAGCTTTAAGGATGTCTGGAAAAAAAACCTCTGAGAGTTAGACAGAGTTCAACCTGACATAGTGTCAGAACCTGCCGCCTGGTTGATGTTGATCTTCCACATGATGAGGGTCACTTAGTACAGCTGCAGGATTAGAGTCTGGAAGTTTATTCTTTCTGCTTCTTGAAGCAGATATGGTTGGAATTGTCTGATTTAGTTATGTTGTTTATACATAAGTTAATTATCTTAACAGTCTATAATTTATAGAACAAAACTTCCTTTAGTGGAAGTTGTTGGCGAAAATACATTAAGTAAAATTAAAAATCTTTTCTTTCGTTGACTACTCAGCTGAAGTATTCTGAAGCAATAGCAACAGAGGGGAGCTTTAAAGCAGAAAGTGTGCAGGGGGAAATCAAGTAAAAATACTAAATAAAATCAATATTCATTTTGAAGATTATCATTATCCTCATCACAGTCTGGTTCAGACTAAATATCCACATTTGCAACCATCACAGTTTTTGCCTCTTTAGACCCATATTTTGGATCAAAGGTAGAACCTCTAGCCATCCTCTGTCTGATCTTTGCAGTATTCCTGAGGGGAAAAAGTCCATCAGACAAGACCCTTTAGGAGTAGCTTGTTCACTAAAGCTTACAAATCAATGTGAAACTTGATTCTTTGTGTTGATCTTGTTGTTTACTACTGTTCCTGCCTTCTAACATTAGTCCCAACAACCCCCTCTGACTTTAGAAATATATGCAGCCCAGCCTGTAGGAAATGAGAGCGACCCTCTTTGTTGAAAAGAAGAAAAGAACAATCAGATAATCAATCATACATACATTCATTTGCATTTAATAAAATTATGTCAATAATTTAGACCATTTTTTGCAAACAGTGAAGGTCAGATGCCTCTTTGTTTTGTTTCTCAAAAACTTTTCAGAATTCCTGGTGAGTTTGCTCTGTTGGTGATTGCACAGCTGTTGAGAAGGAAATACACTTGTTCTGTATGCAAGGACTGTTTTGAGGAACCCAGACATAAATCGTATTTCTTCTTAAAAAAAAAAAAACATCCTTAGAAATAACAAAAGATAAGAACATCAAAAAATTTCTCCAGCTGCCCTTGCTCCTATTGTCTGAATCTGCCTCCTGTGTGGTGTCTTTTGACCAGCCATGCTAGTTGATTATAACATTAGAAGAGATGCATGCTCAGAAGTCAAAATTATAATAGCCTCAACTACTGTAACACCCATGTGTCTTACCTTCGACATTTTCATCTTGCATGCAAATACAGATCCAATGGAGCCGGTAATCATTCATCAGGAAACTGCCTCCAAATGCTAACTGCTTCTGTCCTGCTCATACATTATTCAGCACCATGGATGGGTCAGGCAGCATTAGCCTTCTCCAGTGCCTCACAAACAGTCAGCCTAACTCTTTAGTATATCTGTTTTATTCTGAACATTGAAATTAGTAAGAAGTGCAATGGTTGGCGAAGAATCTGTCTCCTTAGAGTCAGGGGTGAGGATGTGTCACTTGGCTTGCTTCTCCTACCTTATTTTTTATAACACCTTGCCTGCCCCTGATACTCCTCTTCATTATGAATTATATGAGAAACCCCCGCATACAGGGCATAGAACACAGGACGAGTGCACATTTCACAAATAAAAATGGGAATGCATTTAGAAGCAGCTGCAGGCAGAGTTTCATCACAAATTTGACAGGTTATGTGACTCACAAAAAACACCCTCATAAACAGACCAACACATAAACACCTGAGAGGAAATTCATTTATATCTATTGTCTTTCTGCCGCCATCACGTGTGGTGTTTAATTCAAATTACATTTCAGCAGCAAAAGCAATGACCCAACATGTTAACCTAGCGAAGGAAGAAAAATGAGCTTCCTTGAACGCAGCAGCACAGTGCCTCTGTCTCTTTCCGCTGTCTCGCCTTGATCCCTGCAGGAATTCTCTGACTGTGTACTAATAACTACTTCAAAGTGAATACACTCCCCTGAATGTATTCTGCATCCATTTAGAGACCTATCTTTCTTTGTTATGAACCCCCCAAAGCAGACTGCATGTGAACCTATCAAAGAAGAATATATGCCAACCTGCTGGCTGTACTCCATCATCATCGAAGTTAACTATTCAGAGTCTTATTGTGATTTGGTTGGAAGCAAAAATACAAACAACCTTCTGATGGAAGAAAGGTGTTTATCAGAGCAGTTGGAAAAAAAAATTTAAAGCAGCAAAACTTTAAATTTACATTTGTAATGAAACAAATCCAAAAATAATATATACCAATTGCCTTCAAGTTATTTAATGAGCTGAATTTATAGCAGAATTATTTTCCCCTCTGGCGACAGATTGAGCAAGGGATGCCAGAAATGTTATGTTTTTAGCTGTAATGGTTTTGTAAAGTTTGTAGAAAAGGCCTGGATACATCCCCTTCGGTCTGTCATCATACTTAAATGGAGCATTGTTTAGGCCCTGCAGCTCCCTCAGATAAAACTGCCTGTGGTGCAATTCCTCATGACCCCTCAGGGCCCATAATTCTCTTTGTAGGTTGTCTGCCAATTTGCTAAACAGTGGCTAGGAAACATGGAAAGACAATGAAGGGATGCAGCTTGAAAAAATTTCACAGCAGAGGTTCTGCAAAATGAACCATTTGAGTTTTCTGTGGAAGATGTCTTCTTTATTTTATTTTATTTTATTATTTACATTTTTTTTTTATCCAAACATTCATTTTTTCTTTTATGGAGGGTTCACACAGCAAGATAATTGTCCTGATATCTGCCTAGACCTTTCCCTTCCAAGAAAAGCTCCAATATCAAGGATGATGATGATTAGAGAATTCTGCCATAAGTTGTATTAAGATTGGAAATCCAACCTGTTGGATTGTCTTAGTTCAATATTCTATTGTAATAGAGGATAGCTGTAATGATTTAATCATTGTCAATTGACCTTCTTTTACATTATAAAATAACTGTTGGGATCTGGAGGTCTGTCCACCTTTCTCCAGCAGAGGGCGTTCTAGGTCTCCTGGAGCCGAAGCTGACTTCTACACCTGCGGCTCATTAACTCATCAGGAGACCAGCATATAAGCAGTGGCAGCGCAACACTCCAGTGCCAGAGTGTTAAGCCAGTTACGGTTAGCAAGCCTGAGCCAACTAACCTGTCTGATTCTCTGACTCCCTTGAAACCTGAACCTGAACCTAACCAGTTTTGTCCTCTCTGCTTCCTAGGAAGAACCGAACTGAATCCTGAAACTCTGGAAGAGTTTCTCATCTGCACTGCCTGTCTGATCTCTGGAGATCATTGGATGATCAATCTGTGTGAACCTGCCTGCCCGCTCTCAAGAAGAGAACTAGAGAGAACCTCTGATCTGAACACCGAGAAGTCTGAAGTCAAGCCCTGCCAATGCCAAGCCCTCTGCTCACCATCTGCCTCTGGACCCTCCTGGTTCCCTCTCTCTGCCGCTCAGTCAACCACTGAACAGGTACAGACCTGCATAATTCTACAAACAACTCAACCTGGATCTCAGCTAACCGAACTGTCCCTCTCTGCAGAGAACCCTGTTGTGACCAGTCCCGGACCTGTTAATCAGAATCAGTCTTTATTATCCATTGTGTGATCAATAAACCTTTAAACTTTTCTTCCGTGTCTGAGTGTGTTCTGCATGTGGGTTAGGTCTAGGGCTGCAACAACGAATCGATAAAATCGATAAAAATCGACTTTTAAAAGCGTTGGCAACGAATTTAATCATCGATTAGTTGTGTCGCGCGATTAATGCGTCATCCGCCGCCGCCGTCATCCCGGGGAAGAAAAAAAAATATGGCGGAGCGAGTCAGCGCCGCAGTTGCAGTGTTGCCAACTCAGCGACTTTTCAGACCCCTCCAGCGACTATTTTTTTTAAAAGCGACTAGCGACAAATCTGGCGACTTTTTACGGTGTCACTGGCGGCTTTTGGAGACTCTTACGTGAAAGCATGTATCGTTCCTACTCTTGTCCTCCAGCGGCAGCTGCTGCCGTGGGGCGCCTCCCCCATCCCAACGCCTTTCTCCCTCTCCCACAGGAGTCCCTCTCAGCGTGGCAGTCAGAGCCGCAGGATTTTAGTGAGGAGTTTACCCTCAGCGTCCAGACTGCAAATGAAGCGCGCATGCCCCGGGATTGACGGCGCAAATTGATCACAATAATTAAAATAGCCTGCGCTTTGTAAAGTGAAAAAAGTCGTAACATGCAACGTTTGTAAAAACAAATTAACATGGCACGGAAGCACCACTGTTATGACGCAGCACCTGAAAAGAAAACACGTTGGAGCCTTCAATGGCAGTGAAGAGAGCTGATCAGCAGGATGAACCATCATGTTTGTTTCATTTTAAAGTGGGGAAACGTAACGTTAGTTTCTCAGGTAGCTCATCTGATGCTTTCCTTAGCTTGTTTGTAGGTTACAGACAGGGATAAGGTTGGCTTCTTATTTTACTTTTAATTTCATTTGAATTAGCTTAAGCAGCGTTTATATTTTCTTTATAAATAAGTTAATTTGCAAATTATGAGGGCAAGGCTTTTAAGGTTTAAATCTTCTGGCAAAGATAAAGTAAAGAAGATCCTGCAATTTATGGAAGTAAAGCAGAATAAAATCCAACAAGATCAGTAATATGTCAATTAATTATCTGCCACATTCCCATGTAAATATCTGTCTTTGGAGGATGTGTTTTTTAGCACCCCTAGTTCTCTCATTTTTATTCCAAATACAATTTATAATTTGAATCACAGGGCTATTTTTATCTCTATGGTTCAGTATTTTCTCAAGTAGCAACTTTACTTTCCTGTCTTAAAAGGCAGAACTCTTCTAGTCTAAAAAAACTCATTTGTTGAAATGGGGGGACCTATTGTTTGAACCCCTTAGGGGCTTTAAAAACTAAAATGCCTGTCTCTTTTTGCGCTTTATGAAACAAAGTACCCTATATTTTGTGGATGTACAGCTACATTTCTCATGTAAGTTTGCGTAGTTTTAACACAAACATTTATTTTTCATATTGCACCAGTACAGTTAATGAGAAACCTGTACTGGTGTGCTTGTTTGTTCTGTCTAAAATGTTTATTTTGGAATAAAGAGGTTAATATAAAAAATATATTTTGTGTCCGATTCATCGATTAATCGAAAAAATAATCGGCCGATTCATCGATTTTCAAAATAATCGTTAGTTGCAGCCCTAGTTAGGTCCCTTAATCCCACCATGACAATAACTACTCTAACTAGAAATAATAAAGTATTTACAGCAAGCATGAGAAGCTTTGAGTAATAAACATGCAAAAAAAGAAAACAAAACAACCAACCACTGATTAATGTTGCACCACACTCTTTGCAGACATGATTGCCAACACACTTTCACATCATGCCATCTGACGTGATGCAAACTATCACCATGCCACTAACAAGGACACAACACCAACATTTTGCAAAAAGCTGTTGAGTCATCTGTAAAGAGGTAGATGAATGGCATTATTGGTCCATTGTAATTTTATTTATGGAAGAGCAACACAGTTGTGTTTTGTTTTCGCCAATTTTCTTGACATTCTCCTTTTCACAGTAAAACATTCACAACCAACTTGTGACTACATGTAGGAGTGAAATTGCCTCTTACAATTTAGGATGGAATTGCTGGAGGGATGGCCTGGAGGAATCAAAGAACAAATGAGAGGACAGGATGAGAGGCACTGCTGTGATTTACCACAACCAATATGATAATACAATTTTATCCCATTTCATACTACTTGGCATTGTAGATATTGCAGGATTATTTTTTCTTTTTACCTCACAAACACATTTGATACTATTTCAAAAGCAGTGTGTTGTCGTGTATTTAACAATGTAATTAAGGAGTACTATCCCCTTTCCGTTATTCAAATATTATACAGAATATGAGAGCAAATGCTAATGAGATCATTGCCTCACTAATTTAGAAGTTGTCAGGAGTTCTGTCTTCACTTAAAACTTTTATTTTAGCTCTGTGGGAGAATTTTGCATTTGAGATTAAGCATGAGGATTCCAAGGTGACATGAAGTATAAGTCAGTTCTTCATACAAAGGCAGTAATTCATTAGGTTGTCAAATTCAGGGAGCATCCCCGCCTTCATTTTTCTTTTTAATTGGGGAGTAATTTAGAAATTTGAAAGGTGGCAGACGCATTTAATAAAGATTGACACCTGTTATTTTTTTTCCTGTCTTCCTACCCACCACTGACTTCAGTTTATTAATGGTCATGTCCTTCTGTGAGGTCTAGCCGCTTTCTCAGAAAGCACTGTCAAAAGGGTCATGTCCAAACACCAAG